CCCTCCCCTCAGTGATTTGTCACCCTCTCCTTTTAATTGCGCTGTAGTCGGTGACGAGAAGAGGGGGGGAAAAGGAAACGCACGGCGTGAGCTCAAACAGGCGATATCGGTGTGGGGCGAGGCCACAGCGATTGCTCCCGTTTGACCGCACAAAACTTCTAAAAATCTAATTTTAACTCCCTCGGCTATCAGTCTAGAATCTGCACTCAGACAGCAAGAAGGGAGAAGCTGCTCGCGGGAAAGCATAAAACTGGGGGCGGGGGGGAGAGAGAAGAAGACAGCCTGCGTACATGCAACAGATACCTCAAGAGTCGATACTATGAGTCCACCGAAGAGCGTCTGGCACCTACCTTATTAAAACGCATTCCCCTCCCGCCCTAACTCGACCCAGTCATCATCTTTCTCCCGCTTCCGATCCCGATCCCACAGCGCCTCGCCCTCCTGGCGGGGGACAAGCCGCCCCCACCCTCTTGGGACGCTATATCGCTCTTCAAACACCCAGACGACACTCTTCGCCTCCACCCCCACCCGTTCTCTACGGAATCCGGTCCAGCACCATATTCTCACCAAAGTACTGAGGTCTTGCCGGGAAAGATGCGGCTGCCCCAGCGTCACTCCCGCTTCATCACCCGCCATCTTGCCTAAAAGGAAGTTAGTTGCCCACAGAGGCTGCCTGACCCCTCACAACTCCGGACACCGGTTCCGCCGACGCCGACTCCAGTCCGAGGCAGCGTCGAAAACCGTCAAAGAGAAAAGGAGTTCGTGCCATCCCCTCTTTTCAGAGCAGGAGGCAGCGTGAGGAGAGGCTTGCGTTGACTCAGGCAATACCTTAGGCAGCCACGAAAGGACCCCGGGCCTGGATGATGCAACCGGCACTTGTGAGGAAAGGCGTGACTCTGCTATAAGCGAACGTGCGTCCCAAAGCATGGAAGGTGGGTGGGGTTCATCGCGAGCTGTTGAGTCAAGGGGAGGAGCTGCTCCTTGGGGGCGGTGCTATTTGGGGCGGTGCCTCTCAACGGGTAGGAAGTCGTGATAGGTGTTCGCCGTTCTGTTGTAGTGACGTTGAAAAATGGACGTCTAGAGCTGGTGGTTGATGATACTGTATTGGGAGAACGCTTTTAACGTTTTGGAGAGGATGTTAATGGGTTCCTGTTTTGTATAAATTATCACCTGCATACAGGACGAAACAGGAGTAGGCTTTGGTCAGTCTTTTGTGTTTATGTTATTAACTTCTGGTACTTGCTCACCTACTTTTTGGTAGAACAAAACGTGTAAGAGATTCACATGAAAATACATACGTGAAATTAACACTTATTTTATAAGAATGGCCTTTGCACCAGTTGAAGGATGTAAAGCAGTTTCCAGAGAGTTCTGACCCTCACTTTCCCTATTAGCTACAGAAGAGGCTGCATGGTAGTACCAGCAGTAAACGAGGTGGTCTTTCCTAGCATCCACAGTTGTGTTGTGGTGGAGTGTGATCTCAAAAGACAGTTTCATGAACAGAAGTGTTAATGTGTCCTGGTTCTCTTGTATTCAGCTGCCAGAGTGTTTGTGAAAAACGCTCCCTTTTCATATAAAGTGCCAAGATTATTTCTACCCCCCCCCCAAGTCATGGCTGTAGGTGGCCACCGCTAAAGAGGCTGGGAAAACTACCACCAGGAATTGGGCTTTCTCGGTGGTGGCTGCGGTGCTATGGAATGTGTTGCCCACTGACATCAGCCAGGCCTTCTGGCCTTTAGGAAACGTGTAAAATCTGTTTCAGAAACATCTTACCTCTTTGATAAGAGGATCCCCGTGGATCCATGAATTGGATGTTGATTTGGACTCGTCGTTGCCTCTGGATTTATTTTGTTGGGTTGTTTTGTGATTTGTTTGGAGCTCAATATGTCTTTGTGGATTGGGGATGGCTAATTGTGTTTTTGTTGCTGTTAGCTGCGTGGAGTAGTGCCTGGTCACTAGATGAGCAGGCTTGAAATGTAATTAAATACCCTGTTTCCCTGAAAATAATACCTAACCTGAAAATGATTTTTCAGGATGCGCGTAACATAAGCCCTACCCCAAAAATAAGCCTAGTTAAGTGAAACCCTGCCCGCCACCATTGTGTAGCAACCAGAAGATGACAGGACTGTATCTGAAAAAAAATGTAGATTGTTGTACATGAAAAAAATAAAACTTTCCCTGAAAATAAGCCGTAATGCATTTTTGGAGCAAAAATTAATATAAGACCCTGTCTTATTTTCGGGGAAACATGTTAAATATATAAATATAATTTCCCCTAGGTTTTCTCTTGCCAGGATTCTCCTTGTTCTTTAAATTTGCACAAGAAGCCAAATGATTATATTAGCTCCAAGTCATGCACCATGTTATTTGAATTACACGCTTTTTGTCTGGGGTTACATGTATGTGCTGGGAGTATTTTGCCATGTCTTTATACATGAAAATCATAGTGGATTTTTCCTCCACCATCTCAGTAGGAAAGATTTTTCTTTCACCGGCTCTGTCATTGGTATAGCCATCTGTTATCATACATTTGATGTTTGATGTGCTACAGTATTTGGAATAAATCTGATCCTCTTGTGCTTTCTACAACCTACTTATTGTCTCTGCCAAACTTTCTTTGCTCCTCTGATTTGGCTTTGCCATCAGAATACACCCATGTAGTAATGCCCTGAGTTGTGCAGCTGGTTTATCTTTTACAGTGGTAGCATGGCTAATGTTCTGGTGGAATATGTGAATCACTGGAGCATTAAACAGAGACTTCAAAATTTCCGTACTAAACAAATAAACAAAAAGTAAACTCTAAAATTAAGCAACTGAGCTGAAGCTCATGTATATTAAAAAGAATATACTCCTGTTTATGTGCTTTTCAGCCTTATTTATTTTGATTTGCCAAGAAATCACCAGGTAGGGGTAGTATAGTTTCACTGCCCAGGAACTCACTACGGGCCACACCTAATTACCAGAGATTCTTTAAATTTGGCAATACAGTGACAGAAGTTTTAAAAGAATAACTTTCTGTTTAAAGTGTGTGTGTGTGTGTGTATCTTGCTGTAAAGCAAAATCATGTATACAGGAGGCATCTGAGATTCTTTTAGACATAGTTTGCTTCCTATACTACCTGTGCTCCTTATTTTTAAGCAAAAATTCACCTCACTTGAGTGAAAGGTCTTGCCACCTCCAAATGGTGAGCACTACCTCCCAGTATAACTCTGTAGGTATTATATTCTATTTGCCTTTTTTCCCAAGCTTCCGCTACTTTGTTGATGCAAAGAATTTCAGTGATAAAGAAGTGCAGTTTGCAAACACTACATAGTTTTTAAAAATTAATTGATCTAGAGAAATTGTTACCACTCAATTCTGAGCTTGCTCCAGAAGGTACAGTAAAATTCATACTTTGCTTATTACAGTAGGGATTCACAATGAAAGAGTGGACGAGTAGTCCAGATAGGCGGGGTATAAATCAAATAAATAAATAAAAATATGTGGCCTTCTGAATGTTGTTGAACTATAGATCCCATCACCAATTGGCGACTGGTACTGGTTTATAAAGAAGCTTGATCTGAATCCCATCAATAAATATGTGGCCTTCTGAATATTGTTGAACTATAGATCCCATCACCATTTGGCGACTGGTACTGATTTATAAAGAAGCTTGATCTGAATCCCATCTTCAAAGAAAAAGCGAGGTACTATTATAGTTATCAATAATAGTTTGTTCTCTCCAAATAACAGTTCCCAGCACTTAGGAAGCCTCGACAGTTAAATGGATATATTGGGTATGTGGCCTTCTGAATATTGTTGAACTATAGATCCCATCACCATTTGGCGACTGGTACTGATTTATAAAGAAGCTTGATCTGAATCCCATCTTCAAAGAAAAAGCGAGGTACTATTATAGTTATCAATAATAGTTTGTTCTCTCCAAATAACAGTTCCCAGCACTTAGGAAGCCTCGACAGTTAAATGGATATATTGGGTATATTACTGGCACAATGAAAAAGAATGCCAGAAATGTTGTGGGACCTTAAACATTAACTGCTATATGTTTGTTCCTTTTTAATACTTTTATACTGTACAGTACTTGTGTTTTTCTAAGCTTTAATATTGTCTTCTAATGATGAAATTGCCTCTTTACGATGATTGTTCTTAGCTTCAAATATTGTCTTTTAATTATGTAAACCACTGTTGTTTACTCATTATTTTCATCTTCAAATGTCTTTCAACCTAACCCGCCTTGGGTCCTTTTTAAAGAGAAAGGCAGGGTAAAAATATTGTAAATAAATACACTCGCATAAAAAATAGTGCAGTCTTTAATGTACCAGAACGCTATCTCCTTTCCTCCTCTTTTCCTTCTTTTTTTGGGTCTGATACACATGTACAGACTGGCAGTTCTTCTTCGACCGCTGTTAAGTACTACAAGTGTGTAGTAAATATATAGCCCATCTCCCAAAAGAAACGTGTTACAGTATGTTGAATGGCACTTTCTGAAGTGCATGCTCAAGGAAGACATAAAATGCAGCGTCCCATCTCGTGAAGACACTGTAACTGTATAAAGGGGATAATTACTGGCGAACCCTTGGCCAGGCCTAGTGGAGGGAAGCCCGCCGGACATCCCTTGGAGGCAAAACTGGCGAGGCAGTCTCTTCGGGCGGGAGGTGCGAAGCTGACATAGAGCCGACGACGAGGCGGCTCCTGAACCAGGAACAGAAGTCGAAAGGCGGCTCGTTGGGCTGGGCGGCTTCCGTGAGGCAGCGGCAGCCACGGCGAATGGCGCGGCCGCTCCACGTGAAGTGGGAAGCGGGCGGCTTCGGCCCGAAAAGCCGCCTTGCCTCTCTCTGGAGGCTCGCCCTCCCGCCCGCTTCTCCTGTGCCTGTCCCTCTGCCTCCCTTACAGGCGGCGGCGGCGGCGGCGGAAGTGACGGTCAGTGTGTGTGGGGGGGTGCTTTTCGTTGGGGGAAGATGGCGACTGAGGCTGTGCTAGGCAGTGAAGAAGGTAAACAACTGTGAGAGGGGACGGGGAAAGGCAGGGACTCCGGGAGGGGGGCGAAGCAGGGGCCGGCGAAAGCCGGTGCCTGGGCAGCGCCGCGGGAAGAGGCCTCAAGCCGCGTGAGCGTATGTAGTGTGCGAGAAGTGAGGAGGGAGCTCAGGCGCGACACCTCCATCACCATGTCCTCCTCCTCCTCTTCACTCCTCCTGTGAGACTCTCCTCCTTCTCTGTCTTTATGTTACCCAGAGATCCCCCCCTCTCCGCATGTTTAGCGCGAAGAGCCGTGTCTTCAGTGCTGCTGAGAGGTAGGTGAAGCTGGTGGGGAGGGGGGGTCGCTCTTACTCCGCCTTGTTTCCCCCGCTTTCTCTCTGTGCTCGCTGCTGCTGCTGCTGCTGCTTCTAGTCCCATGTGGGTTATACTTCTCCCTTCTCCTTACCAGAGGTATCTTTTTCCTTTTGCACTTTCTTTTCCACTAGAGTTGGCCTAAAGTGGACACACCAACGAAGTCAGTTCATTCATCCTATTATTCTTTTGTTTTTAATTTATTCCTCCCCAGTTTTGAAGGGCAGTTGCTTTTTCGGATAAGAAAAGAGTGGGTGAAGCTCCAGAGAATGTAAAGCTGTTGTGGCTGTAGAATTGAAGATTGCATGGTAATGGGATCCTCGGTATCTTAAAAGAGTAGTATATGGGGGCAGTCTGATGTTCCTACTGCTAATTGGAAAGTTATTAGACCTCTCAGGGTGCCTGGCCTCTTGGCCTCCTAGGTGTGATGTATTTTTCTAAAGAGGGAAGCATATTGCAGTTTTGCATCTTTTAAGGTTTCTCACTCACTTTGATGAGTGAGGCAAGACATATGCCTTGGCCTTTTAGGTCTGTGAGCGTGTTAATGATCCTTCCAGGAGCATAACCTGAAGTCTTCTATACTTACAATGCACATGGGAAAGAGTGACTATGTTACAAACTTTGTTTACATGAAAATTCTCTGGTTTAATTTTTGCTAAATACTGTTCTGTAACGTGTCTGAAAGTTTCTGTCAGACAGAATTATGCCGTAGTGATTTCCCCCCATTGCCAGTTATTTGCTATGATGCTGTGAAATCATACCAACATTTAAGATTTGATGTATATAATTTTTATGAGATTTTATGACCTGTAAAACATGATAATTAACCCAATATTTAGTTTTAAAAAAGTAAAGATTCAACCAAGTTAAAAAGTCTTTAAAAATATTGTAAGGAAACAGCATCTCATTGTTTTGAGATGATATATGTCCATGTGTTGCAACAGACACACTCTTAGAAGAGCTTTTTGTATGGTGAAAGAAGTGCCTTTTCTGAGGTGCAATAATGTATTATTAATTGACTACTTTTAAAAATAGTTACTAATTTTCAAAGAATTCAATTTCCTAATCAGTGTGGTCACTTTCTCCATCATTTTTAATTAATACAGGTAGTGAACAAAACGATGGAACAATTGGTAATGGTGCAACATAGTCATATGTTTTTACCATGTGGTTTATAAAATTAATATTGTAGTTCTGTATACATAACATTTCTGAAAGTTATTTGTAGTTTCTGAGATGCAGATCTCAACTGCTGAAGGCCATCTGAAGAGTTAAGGTTGCTTCTTACCAAGCCAAATCTGAAACTGTGTTTTTGGTATTATATCATTGGTAAGGCATAACTACAGAAGAAGCTGTTGAATTACAAAGCCAAATAAAAAAATTATAATGAGCTGGATAAATTATATAAATTATATACAGTAGTTTCTATAACTTGTCACTTACCATTTACATCTCTACCCTGTTTTTCCCCGAAAATAAGACTTAACCTGAAAATAAGCCCTAGTATGATTTGTCAGGATGCTTGTAATTTAAGCCCTACTCCAAAAATAAGCCCTAGTTAAGTGAAACCCTGCTCTCCACCATTGTGCAGCAACCAGAAGATGACATGACTGTAAAATCAAACATCCCCTGAAAATAAGGCCTAATGTGTTTTTTGGAGCAAAAATTTATATAAGACCCTGTCTTATTTTCGGGGAAATACGGTACTATTTTTAGTGTCAGCTTAATGTAGTTTTGTAATCACTAGTTTTATTTTTATTTTATTTTTTTAGTTTCCATTTCTATTGCAGAGACTTAAGAGCTGGAGCTACCCTACCAATAAATCAGCATTGTAATGTTTAAATATCCAAACAATTATAATTTTGCTGTTAAGTGTTTTATGGACAACTGCCCTGTTTCCCCGAAAATAAGCCCTAACCTGAAAATAAGCCCTAGTATGATTTTTTCAGGATGCTCATAATATAAGCCCTATCCCCAAAATAAGCCTCAGTGATGTGAAATCCTGCCCTCCACCATTGTGCAGCAACCAGAAGATGATACGGCTGTATTTGAATAAATGTAGATTGTTGTACATGGAAAAAAATCCCCTGAAAATAAGCCCTAATGCATTTTTGGAGCAAAAATTAATATGAGACCCTGTCTTATTTCTGGGGAAACATGGTAGCATACTTTATAGCAGGATCATGGATGTTACAAACTTTATTTAAAAGTTTATTTTTGTTTGGCAGCCATAGCCATTTTTTAGAGTGGTTGCTTTCCTTACTTTGTTACAGAAACTTTAGAAGTAGAGGTGAGAAATGGAATATACGATCTGACATTAACCTTAATAGGCTACAGAATCATACATGTGTATTTAGATTTTTTTATGACTGTACTTAATTCCACAATTTAGTCAGTAACATTGACACGCACACAAACATGTGCATTGTAGTTTATCCACTTTCTTGCATACACAGTGAATCCATTTCAGGCAAGAATCTTGAATCTGTGGAAGAAAAGTCCATTATAGTTTCCATAATGTATTACCTTTGATTTCAACCTCATAGTGATGGGGATAGAAGTCTCTTTGTAATTCTCCAGTCTTTGTTACTACTTATTAACACTCAGATAGGTGGCATGCTGTTGCAAATGATATGCTGTCATCAATAGAATCCACTCTATTAAAACAATATTTCCACGTGAATTTGTTGTTATAAGTGTAGCAATCAGAATGTAGTTCTTAGTTGGGGTGTAAAAGAAAATGCGTTTAGGACTGACTATTATAGCAGAATCTACAATTCTGATCAGAATTTTCAAATAACTAATAGTGCCACCTTGTGTGGTGCACTATTAGTTATTGAAAATATATACACCTCAGATTAGTAGGAAAGAAATATGGAACATACCATAATACTTACTTATCTAAATAAATTTCAAAAATAATGTGGTGCATTATTTTTGAAATTTATTTAGATAAGTAAGTATTATGGTATGTTCCATATTTCTTTCCTACTAATCTGAGGTGTATATATTTTAACAGCTACTGTATTAACAATAGCTGTTAATATTGTCTTGTAAAAAATATAATACCCAGGTGCCATCAAATCAATTCTGAGAATAATGGAGTTGGAAGAGGCCTATAAAGGCATTGAGATCAACCCCCTGTTCAATGCAGGAATCCAAATCAAAGTGTTCCATTATATTTTAAATTATGTTTATTTAGCTGTAATTGGTTGTGAGCTGCCTTTGATCCCTCTGCTGGGAGAAAGGTGCCATATACATTAAACACGTACAGTAAGTAAATCTGTTCTTGAGTCCTTTCTAGTCAAGTGGAACCATGTTATTCTTCCCAAAATGGCTAGTTCTCCACATATGATTATTGAGCTTTTTTAATTGTAAAGATTGCTTTTGCAAGTAACTGATTCTTGTTTTCAATAACTCTTAAGAAGCTATACAGTGCCTCGCTTAATGACAATAATCTGTTCCAGGCAAATTGCTGTTAAGCAAAAAGCGAAAATATCGTAAAGCGAAATTTAAAAACCCATTGAAACGCATTGAAAACGTTCAGTGCCTTCCAGTGGGCTAAAAACTCACCGTCCAGCGAATATCCTCCATACAGCGGCCATTTTCAGTGCCAGTATAGCGAGGAATCCATCCCTAAGCACAGCAGGGAGCCATTTTAAGCACCCGGTGGCCATTTTGAAAACCCGACGATCAGCTGTTTTTGATCGTCGTAAAGCAAAAATTGGTTCCCAAAGCAGGGAACTGATTATCGCTAAACGAAATCATTTAGACCATCGTTTTGCGATCGCAATGTTGTAAAGCGGATTCGTCATAATGCGGGGTAATCGTTAAGCGGGGCACGACTGTACTAGTTGGCAGCTAAACTGAGGCATTAGCTCTTTAAGTCTCACATCTGTGTCTTCTCTGAAAGCAGAAGCAAATGCTTTTAATTTTTTCATGACTGTCAGAGAAGGAGAGCATCTTTGTGTATGTAAATGCATGGCAGTAGTTTAGTGTTGTTTCTAAATGAAGCCCATTTTTAGGCATGAGAGATGTATGCAAATCAGAATTAAGTACATCAGACTTGTTTACTTTTTAATAGACTTAAACATTCATTTAGCCACATCTGTAAACCTTAGAAACCTCTATGAAAATAAGAAATGATAGCAAATGATCTTTCATTTGCTATCATGTGTGATAGCAATTGACCATTCAGTCATCTTTGCAAAGTGAAAGTAACTTTTCCTCAGAAGTAACAGATAGCTGTCCCAAGTGCTCATTCACATTTGTCATGATATGTATGAAATATCTGATATAAAAAGGCAGTTGTTCTTCGTGGCGTCTGTGAATGCATACAGTTGGGTTGTTCCACGCCTGCGCTGAACCTCTCAGAAGTTTCTAGAGCTTAAAGACACATGATTAGTGGGATGTTCCCCCATGGAGTGCATGCTCTGCCCACCACTGATCCCCTCATTTCCTTTTTTCTTACATGTTGGCTACACCGGGAGTACTACTATTATCTGCAGTTGTCTTGACACCAGTTCAGATAGAAGAGATAGATCCTGTACTACCAATATGACCCATATCTACCTGACGATCCTCAAGAGCAGCTATATTATGATGAGTCTAAAAGGGTCTATCAGCGATCAGCTCTCCTAAGAGATGCTTGACCAGTCGGACCGAGAGTAATTAGAAGCTTGTGCTCCCTCATTAGGCTAAGTCGAGTCCTGGTAACTTCAGCCAAGGGCCACCCCAACTCTTCTGCTTACAAGTCTGCCCTAAAAATATACTTCTGCCACTTTAGAAAATTTCCAAAAAGAAAGACACATGAGTGTTGTAGTCAGTAGACATACTTAGCTCAGTCAGGGTAGGACTCAGTAGCAAAATGTGGCCTTATAATTCCCCCTCAGGGTAATGCTAAGACAGCTCCACTTGAGAGACCAATTGATTTTTATAATTATTATTTTATTAAGAAAATTAT